ATTTTCAAACTTGAATTATTTTTAGTATTTATGTTTTACAACTACAAAGTCTTAAAATTTAATGTCAGTAGGGATCAAAATGTTTTTCTTCCTCATTCAAATCTTGGCAGCCCTAACTCTCAAAGCTCAGAGATAAAATTTGATTTAAAAGCCCACTAAGAACAAATTGCTTAATCAGAAATCTGGACTTCACTATTAAGAAATTTCATCACCCACAAAATATGGGGGGAAAACTCATACAGCCAAAAACATAAAAATGCTCATTTTTATTTAATGCTTTGTGGATCAGAGCTAAGGAAAACAAAAATAGACATTTTTCTTACTTTACTAGTTACTGAAATCCCTAAACAGTAGCTTTAGAATAGCCTATTTTCATTATAAACACATATATTTTTACACACAGGTAACATTATTTTTCTTTACTCTGTGATAGCCTAGTTGTAGTTTTATTCCAAATCATGCAAATTTCTAAAAATGTATAATCTGGTCACACAAAAACTGGTGAAAGACACCATCTCACCATTTCAAAAAAAGGACTACAGAGGGAAGGCAGGAGTGGGTGGTTGGGTGGAAAGAGCTCAACCAACAAACTTGTATGCATATATGCCTAACCCATGAACACAGACAATAGGGTGGTGAAGACCTAGGGTGGGGGCGGGCTAGAAGGGGTCAATGGGGAAAAAGGGGGACATATGTAATACTTCCAATAAAAGAGATTTTTTTAAAAAAGAAAACAAATGAACAAAACAAAACAAAGCCTAAGGGAATTAAACATAATAAGATTGCTAAAAACCAAAAAGGCTTTACTGGAAAGCTTTAACTAATAGTGGGGGGTGGGGTATATTGCTTTAAGACTTACAAACTTCTCAAAAATGGAAGCCTGAAGATGTGGAATAACATTTTTAAAGTGCTATAAAAAAATCACTCATAATAAAGACTCAAGATCTCAAACTGAATGATAAAAAATGAATGCCAACACCAAGATGGCACAATGTTAGAATCATGAGACAAGGATTTCAAAACAGCCATCATAAAAATGCATCCGTCATTACAAACACATTTGAAATTAATTAATTAATTAACTAATTAATTAATTGAAAGTCTCAGCAAAGATATAAAGAAGACATTCAAAGGAACTCTGAAAACTAAAAAATACATAACTAAAAATTAAATAAAACCACTCAATGGGTCACAGCAGAAGGGGAAAGACAGAGAAAATAATCTGTTAACTATAAGATGAAACACAGAAATCAGCCAATCTAAACAACAAAGAACAATAGACTAAAAATAAAACAAGCAAAACTTTGTGGAACTATAAAATAACATCTTACATCTGTGTCATCAGAGACCCAGAAGGAAAGAAAAAAGAAATAGGGTTAAAAAATTTTCAAGTGTTAAAAAACAACAACACTCTCAACCCCAAATTTTATATCCAGCAAAAATATGCTTCAAGAATTATGGGGAAATCAAGACATTCTCAAATAAAGGCCACTAAGAAAATTTGTCACCAGCAGACCTACACTAAAACAATGACAAAAGGAAGTTCTCTAAACAGAAAGAAAATGAAAAAAATAAAAACTACAAATCAAAGATATAAATAAAGATACTCCACATACATGGACTAGAAGTTTTGATACAGTTAAGATGCCAACTCTCCCCAACTTGATATGCAGATTTAATGCATACCAATGAAAATTCCAGCAAGATTCTTTTATAGATACAAACAAGATTATTCTAAAATTTCTATGGAAAGGCAAAGGAACTAGAAAAGCCAAAACAATTCTGAGATAGAATCAAGTACGAGGAATCATTCTACTAATTTCAAGACTAATTATATAGCTATTTTAATAAAGTCCATATGTTATTGGTGGAGGATTGAAAAAAAACACAGTGGAATACAGAACCCAAGAATAGCCCATATAAATATGACCAATGAATTTGTGATAAAAGTGAAAAACAAATTCAATGAAGAAAAGATAGCCCTTTCAAAACTTGGTGCTTTAACAATTGGGTATCTACAAATATAAAAATGAACCTTGTCCTAAACCTCACACCTTATACAAAAATTAACTCAAAATAGATCAGATATTTAAATGTAAAACAAACTATAAAACCTGTAAAAAAATAATATAGGAAAAAAATCTTCAGGACCTAGGATTTGGTGAAGAGTTCTTAAACATGACACCAATACATGAAAGAAAAAAAAAAAAAAACCAATAAATTAGACTTCATCAAAATTAAAAACTGTTGATCTTCAAAAGACCCATTAAAAATATAAGAAAAGCTACACAGTAGAATATTTTCAAACCACATTAAATGACAGAGGCCCATACCTAGAATAAAGAACTCTCAAAATTCAACATTAAAAAAACAAAAGACCCGGGGGACTCTTTCCCCCTCCCCACGTGGGAGTCCACTCTGTGGGACTCTTTCCCTCTCCCCATGTGGGAGTCTGTACTTGTTCTTCAATAAATCTCCACCTTTGCTATAAAAAAACAAAAAAACAAAAAAAACAATAAAAAATACCCAAACAGGAAATGTACCCCCCAAAAAGAAATATTTCACCAAAGAGGAAAAGTGGATGACAAATAAACATATGAAAATATGTGCAACACCATTAGCCATTAAGGAAATGCAAATTTAAAAGCTTAAAGAGACACACTCCAATGAGAATAGCTAAAATAAAAAATAATACCAAATATTCATGAGAATGTGAAGAAAGTGGATCTTTCATAACAGCTGATGGGAATATAAAATGATACAGCCACTCTGGAAAATAGTTTGGCTATTTCTTTTTTAAAAACTAAACATATACTTACCATATGACCCATAATCACACTCCTGGGCATTTATCCCAGAGAAATGAAAATTTGTATCTGTATAAAAACTCATAAATGATTGTTTATAGCAGCTTTATTTGTAATAGTAAAAAACTGGAAGTAGCCAAATGGCCCTCAGTGGGTGAATAGTTGTACAAAAACTGTGGTATATAAATACCATAGAGTACAACTCAGTAAGTAATGCAGTTCACAAAGGCATTAAAGGGTTAAAATTATTTAAATGAACCTAGATTTGATTGCACATTGTACTTTTTCAAAGAATAAATTGATTCCATAGTTAATTGTATGTAAAGGTAAATACTTATAAACTTAATTTCAAGAAATACATCTCTTCAGGCTACTTCATATACTAAGATTTCATTTTTATTATGCAAAACGTTTGCAATACCAACCAAGCCGTTATACTCAATTAACATTTGACAAAGGAGGCAAGAGCATACAATAAAGTCAAGACAGTCTCGTCACTAAATGGTGTTGGAAAATTGGACAGATATATGCAAAAAAATGAAACTAAACCACCAATTTACACCATACATAAACATAAACTCAAAATGGATAAAAGACTTAAACCTAAGATGGGAAACCATAAAAATCTTAGAAGAATCCATAGGCAGCAAAATATCAGACATATCTCGTAGCAATATCTTTACTGACACATCTACCCGTGGTCGGCATACTGTGGCTCACGAGCCACATGCGGCTTTTTGGCCCCTTGAGTGTGGCTCTCCTAAGCCTTAGGAGTACCCTAATTAAGTTAATAACAATGTATCTACCTATATAGTTTAAGTTTAAAAAATTTGGCTCTCAAAAGAAATTTCAATCGTTGTACTGTTGATATTTGGCTCTGTTGACTAATGAGTTTGCCGACCACTGGTTTAAGATGACTACCAGATTGCTCTAGTGTAAAAACCTTTTCCTTTTTGTAATTGGTAAGTAATCTGTGGGATGATAAATTGAAGCTGAATGAATATTCTGTTCCCTAGTAACCTTTTACTCAATAATTTATTTTATTTTTTTTGCTTATATCAATTCTGGTTGCAGAATGGTGATATTCTAATTCTATCATACCTCCCACATTTATTAACTGGCTTTCTTCTGTAAAGAATAACTTTATCTCTTTAGTCTTTTTTTAAAAAATAATTTGCTATAGACTCAATTATTCTTTTTTTTAATTCAGTGTATTATAATCTATTATAGTCATTATTCTTTTTTATCAAATTGTGCCAAGTTTGGCCAGTAGGAGCCTCTTCACTCAGGTCCTTGTATCTTTTTGACATGCCCCATTCATCTTTAAATGCTTCTTTGCTTTCTGACATAAAAGATGGTTCACACCCACTTTGCTCTTTCTCTGCATAAGACCTAGAATGAGCTAATTTTCTAAGGACCCTTGGTTATTTTGTGTGGGGAGTGGTCAAAAAATTAAAAATGGAACTCCTATTTAACCCAGTAATCCCACTTCTAGGAATATATCCCAAGAAACCAGAAACACCAATCAGAAAGGATACATGCACCCCTATGTTCATAGCAGCACAATTTACAATAGCTAAGATTTGGGAACAGCCTAAGTGCCCATCAGCAGATGGGTGTGGTACATCCACACAATGAAATACTACACTACTATAAAAAAGAAAGAACTCTTACCATTTGCAACAGTATGGATGGACCTGGAGAGCATTATGCTAAGCAAAATAAGCCAGTCAGAGAAAGATAAATATCACATGATCTTACTCATATGTGGAATATAATGAACATAAGTGGGTGAACAAAAATAGATCCAGAGACATAGAAGCATCGAACAGACCATCAAATCTCAGAGGGAAGATAGGGGAGGGTGGGAGTGGGGGTGGGGTAAGAGATCAACCTAACCAAAGGACTTGTATGCATGCACAGGAGCATGACCATTGGACACAGACAGTAGGGGGTGAGGGCATGTGCTGGGGGGTGGGAGTGGCCAGGGAGAGGTCAATGGGGGAAAAGGAGACATATGTAATACTTTAAACAATAAAGAATGTTTTTAAAAAAGAGTTTAAATTATTTAAATGGACGTAGATTTGATTGTATATTGTACTTTTTCAAAGATTAAATTAATTCCATAGTTAATTGTATGTAAAGGTAAATACTTATAAGCTTAATTTCAAGAAATACATCTCTTCAGGCCAGTTCATATAGTAAGATTTCATTTTTAATATGCAAAACATTTGCAATACCAATCAAGCAAAAGTAAAATGAACTTGAGTCCATTTAAAGTGAATGAAACATAATTACTAAAAAATAAAGTTAGATATTGTTTGAGATGTTTCAATGCTAGTAAATGAATACACAAATGCACATATCCCTCAAGCAGCCAATATTTTAATACACAATATTAACTAATATGTAAAAAGTGCTTTCACGATCTGTTACCAACTAAAATAAAAAAATTCATCATATAAATTTCAAAAATGTGTTCTTTGACTTCTAACCTCTGCTCTTCTTTAGCATTACCTGTGAAGGAGAAAAAAATATGAAGATTCATATTATAGCTATAGCAAATAAAACATAATTCCTCAACAAAAAGTTAAATATTCCTATGTTTATAATATGTAAGACTGAATTTATAAAACCCAATACAGAAGATGATTAGGGAATCCTTTTGCCTTATAAATGGTCTGAGACTTCTATTTCTCTCAAATAATGTAAAACGTGCCTAGATTCTCAAAATCTGGTTTTATAGTCACTTCTAGATGTTAATTTCTTCAATTGTAAGCCAAAAGTGTCCATATTAATGGTTTCTAACATCTGTAGACAATTTAGTAATCCTGGGAGTTACAGAATGTTCTAAAATTCTAAAATCCTATTTATAAATTGGGCATTTAACAACTATAAAGCAATACAAACCCATTGCAACACCATATTTCTTACATTTGTTCTGGAATTATATCAAGTTAAAGACCAAGACTAGTCATCTAATGCTGTAAAGCTTATTAGGTAGACAATTTTCAAAACATATAGTCCATGACAGAAATAAAACAACGGATCTTTAGTCTTAAAAGACAGGAAGCATTAGACCAGAATATATCCAAAATTTTTTTTAAAGAACTTACCTACTTTTAAGTTAAGCATACCTATCATTTGTTAATAAAAATAAACCCTAAATTTAAAATACATACATACATTCTTCAAGCTCTTAAACCCTGATTTACCTACAGAAAAACTGACTTTAATAGTCTAGAATCTTGTTAGAATGTTTATAATTGTAAGAAAATTTGAAACCTCTAAGAAAAAATGGCAGGGCATGCACATTTCTAGGCTTGCTCTATGCCACCAAATAGGTCTATACCCTAAGTTAGTACTTCTCTGTTTTATGTTAGCATGGATACGACAAAAGGAAGTACTATGTACTCAAATGAATTTTCAAAATGCTGAGTATATTATGTATTCAAATTTACAAAATGCTAAATTAAACAGAGTTCAACAAGTTTCTTTACTACTATATTTTCCATAACCTTTTAAAACTTTACATAACTATGGTTATATAAAGATGTTAGCATTGTGTAAAGATGAACAAAAAGTACATGGAACTCTCTATACTACTTATGCACTTTCTGTGAGTCAGTCTATAACTATTTCAAAACAAAAGTATACAAAGACATACAGTGTCACAAGTAAATCTCTCTCCCACATCGCTCCCAGTCAACCATGGTTGCCAATTTCTTGCATATTCCTATAGAAACAGACTCTATATACATAATAACATTGTGACTATTCAAGGAGGTATAGTATGTTAAGTTATCTAATGTATCTTGACACCAGAAGCTTTTCATGGTGGGGCATTTATTAACATCAAGTGGAAATGATCTCAGGAACATATTTGGAAAAAACTCTGCCCTAGGCATCATACTCTCACATTACATAGAACTACCAGTAAGAAGCAATCTCCTCTGTTTTTATAAGTAATTTGAGTCATAAGTCACGCAAAATACAGTTAGAAAAACAAATAGGTAATTAGAAAAGCAAAATGATCAAGGTTTGATAAATTTCAAGGTGATAACCTTCTCAACTATATATAGCCCACTACAAATCCTAAAGATTACAGTCAAACATTAATTTTCCCCTAAATAGTAATAAATCAGTGGCCATGAATCTTTGCATCAGCGATCCATAATATACATATAGAGAAAGAAAATCTGACTCCTTAATTAAATCCATTAACATGAAAAGCTGTCAACTGAGTAGACAAAGCTGAATAAAAAAATCTAAATCAGGCAGAAGTGATGAACCAAGTGGTACTTTTAAAGTCAATTCTTGCTCAAGAAAAGAAACTCATGCCTGGCCAGCGTGGCTCAGTGGTTGAGTGTGGACTTACGAACCAGAAGGTCACGGTTCCATTCTGGTCAGGGCACATGCCCGGGCTGCGGACTTGATCCCCAGTGTGGGGTGTGCAGGAAACAGCCGATCCATGATTCTCTCTCATCATTGATGTTTCTATCTCTCTCTCCCTCTTCCTTCCTCTCTAAAATCAATAAAAATATATTTTTTTAAAAATTAGGCCTTACCTTTGCTGCAGCTAGTACATGCTGGTCTTTAATGATTCCACACTTATTCTTACAAGCATCTGTCCTGGCCTCTTCTGCCAATCGACGAATAAACAGTAAACAGTTCAGATGCACCTTTAAAAGAGGAAATTCAAAAGTATTTTTAAAATATTGATGTTCTGAAATATAAAGATAACAAAATTTAATGTTGTGCTAATTTAGTATTGTGATTTAAATCAATTGTTTTTTTTTAATTTAAAGTAACAGGATCTAGTTTAATATATAATCTAAGGTTCATCTTAGATTCCATACAAATAAGACTTAGTTATTGAAATACTACATGAAACAAGGCCATGTAAGGCTAACCAAAGGCTATAGACAATAACATTATTGTAAAGCATCCTTAGATCAAAATTTATGTAGAACTTTATTAAGTAACAAATATTCCTGCTTCTGATCCCAAATAAACTTATGTATTTAAAATTTTTCCAAAATTTAAAATCAAAACAACATATTTAAGGCTAATCATCTTTCAATATATAATCCAAGGTCTAAAGATTTTTTTTTAACCAGATATTTGAAAGACCTATTCAAAAAAAAAAGGTAATAATTGAAATTCTGAAGATTTACTGAGTTGAAAAGTATATGTACAAAGGTCATTACTTATTATCTAACAATATCAAAGTAATCATATCTACTATTAATAACCTTTAAGTCACCTTTTAAGAAATTATTTAAAATAGATAATATAAGCAGACAGAACAAAATTAAAAACTCCACAAAGGACTGTAGTTAAGTAAGTTGTTAGCATTGTGGCAAGCTAGGTAAAAGATACATCAGTAGTCTCTACTATTTTGCCACTTCTTGTGAATCTAGATTGCAAAATAAAAATATAAAGCAAGAGTCTACAAAAGGGTAGACTGTCAAAAATAAGTCTCTTTTCCATGCAGTCCCATATTAACTGTACACTCAGAATATGCAAGGTGTTACGTTAAACATTAGGAATACAATAGTCCCAAACTTCCCAGGCCAATGGCAGGACCAAACCTATAAAGAAATTAAAGGCATGTGTGACTGTAGATGATGGAGTAAAATAAGGTTAATCCTTTCTAGGAAGATTAAGAAAGGTTTCACTGAAGAAGTGGTATTTGAACTGGGTTTTGAAAGAATTGGAGTTTGCTGAGTGGAGTGAGGACATCTTCAGGCAGAAGAAATATCATATACAAAACACAACATAAAAGTGGATTAGTTTTGTGTTAAAGATAACGGGAGACACAAAAAGAGATCGGTATAGTTCAGGGGTGGGCAAACTTTTTGACTCGAGGGCCACAATGGGTTCTTAAACTGGACCGGAGGGCCGGAACAAAAGCATGGATGGAGTGTTTGTGTGAACTAATATAAATTCAAAGTAAACATCATTACATAAAAGGGTACGGTCTTTTTTTTTTTTTAGTTTTATTCATTTCAAACGGGCCGGATCCGGCCCGAGGGCCGTAGTTTGCCCACGGCTGGTATAGTTCCTTCCCCCGAAGAAGCTGCACACCACAGTCGGAGACAACACTGACATATGAAATTCTTAGTGAACAGTGTCAAATTACCAATAGCTACACTGTATGATGTACACCTTTCTCTGCTATCAAAATTCAGAAAAAAATAGGTCAGAGCAGACTGCCTTCACTGTAGAAAGGTTTATGGATGATGTGGGACATCTGCTGGGTAAGATTATGAAGTGTCAATGGCAAGCAGGAAACCCTAAGCAAAGAGACCAGGGAGATGCATGGCATACCCAGAGAGTGAAGGAGAACAAATAAAAGCCAAAGAAAAGCATGTGACCCAGGAATAGATAGTGGCCTAAAGCAATTCCTTCCCCTACCACTGAAAATGCTTGGAATTTCAGCCCACCTTCCTGCCTGCGCCACCTGGATCCCACCTGTTGTCCATGAGTCACTTTGGGGCAAACCGGTATGAATGTAAGAGGAAGCTGGTTACTTGAGAAATTTTTGCCAATCTATTCAACAGTCTCCTAAAATATCCTTGAGCAGGTACATTTCTTCCCCATCACTTGGACCCAGGACCAATGAAAACTCAGAAAAAATACTAAAATGCTGTAGCCTAAGCGTTGCTCGTGATAGGCGTCAGTCTGCGACTGAAGGGACGTGCAGGAGCAGCTGATCG